GCTATATAAAAAAAACTGTATGAACTTCACTTGTCCGCATGTGTAACATTTGCACAGTAAATCCTCTCCCTTCCCCAACCATCTTTTATATGGCGATTTATCTAAATGCTGCTCTCGTACGTCTACACGTTCTTCTTATCAATTCTTATCTTGCCGGAATCCTTGTAAACCGAGAGCGCGTTTCTTCAGAATTTCTCAGTAACCTTAAATGTTAAATATTTTAATTGCATTTTTCCTACTGTTAATGAGATGTGTAATTTTTGACTGAAATGTGAACATTTCTGTTCTCATAAAAGTACATAGAAATACAAGTATAAATTAGACATTTTTGACCATATTCAAAATTGAATGACCCTATAGAAGTTCATTGTATACACGTAGCTGACGAGTGGCCTCAAACCACATTCGGTTTCATTAATCAGATCTTAATTGTTGTAACACTGATTTGTCAACCAAAGCCTACTTTGTTTCACACCTTCAAACCAATAGAATTCGCTTCTGATGACACCGGGGCAGGTGGGAGAGAGTACAGGTTTTACGTTTGAAATCGGAACTCAATCAAACACATGCTTGCAATCTGGGCAATATGTATCGAGTTCGTCCCATGTTCAACTCTCATTTTCCGCCCATACCCGTCTCATTTGCACCCCCTTACAGGATTGCATCATCAACCACATTGAGGCTCATCCGACGCAACCGTTACTACTCGTGCACACACGAGACAGCAATCTAATAATGATTGACCTAAGATCGTAAGTGTAATTCCCTCCATGACATTGTCTAGCTGTGTATCATTTGCTGTTTACTCTGTGTGCTAAATCCACAGCCCAATCGCAGTATGTGGAGAATGGGCACAAACCGTCCTCTGTACAGTCTGTTTGATGTGTTCCTCGATTTGGAGTAGTAAAAGACAATAGCGTCAGAAAAGAAACGAGATGTAGTTTCCGAGCCTAGCTTGCACTGATGCTCCATCGGTTTGTATAGCACTGTGTGGGACAGACGAAAGAGAAAAAAAACAATACACGGAATGGGCGTGGAATGTGGGAAACAGTTGGGATCGTGATCGCATAGATTTCGCTCGCGGAAACAGATGCTGCGTTTGCCCTCCGATGTGCAATACTGGTATTGTGAGACACTAACTATTCACACTTGTGAGTAGTTCGCAAAAAAGGAGGTGATTGGCGGTTTCCTCCAACGGTCAAAAATGAACAAGACCTGTTGGAGCGAATTGGTGCTATTCAATATGGTAACTACACGAATGCGTATCTACTGGTGGAAAATTCCATTAATTAACCTGTGTGCAAGTGGGAATTAAAAATGAGATATTTTTTTGTATGAAGGCCAATTTACCGATACCCTTACCGTTATTCATAATAAACAACTTTCCTCGACCAGGCACTACCTTGTGGAATTAAAATGCTGGTACGAGAATGGCGGTTTCATCTGAGTGCCACACACCTGTTGAACGGCTTCAGATTGACCACAAATGTGTTCCCGGTTTGCGGTCAAAAAGACTAACTCAATATTTGATTGAACCATTCAAGTGCCGTTTTCGAGTGTCTTGAACGATGACAAGCTTGCATATGATACATTGCATCACATCTCTTGAAATTTTTGTCTATAACGTTCTACAATAAATTTTATCGCTGAAAACTAATTTACTATCTGAAAGGGCCTGTATCGAGTTACCTGCGGGCATGAGAGGCATATCTTCAAGCCTATTCTGGGTGAGCAAGGGTTATAAAGCTAACAGAATTCGTTTATAGATCTGGAGAGATTTATGTTCACAACCGCAGTCCGGCACAGTTCGACGAAATCTTTTGTTCATGAATGGGTGGTTCTTTCAGCCTAGCAACCATGCCCTTGTTACTACGTCGATACACTCTGTTCGTAATTGCCGAGGCAACTCAATTTTACAGTGCTTTTACGTGTTTGATCGAAACTGTGTGTAATTGAGTAATGAACCTAGTTGTGTTAGATACTATTCACTTGCGCGTAGCAGGTACCATAATTGGTGAATAGTTTCAACAAACAAAATCAACAAGATCACTGAGGGCTATTTACCGGGTCTCAAAGAAGAACTATCGATTTCTACATTCATTACGCGTCCTGTGGCCAGCAACTCCGGTGGTATATTTCTGGTTAGATTTTTGTGTTATGCATGCCAAATTGGTGATGTCCTATATAAAATCCTCAATAAACAATTATACTCGATCAACATCGTCTTCTGCAATTAGAACACTAGGGATATTCGGTTAATGCAGTGTAGCTACAATCTTTGTACTGCGTCTGTCCATGTGTATACTGTAAGCACTATGTAAAGTAGACCGGACAAAGATGTGGAAAACTCTCGCACCCAAATGAGGGTTGGATTTGCTAGCCATTTTCACTGCTCCCCCGGGTTCCATGCGAGCATTGGTTCATTCGTAGAGTTTGTTCTATTTACAATCAGCAGCCGATTTGTGAGCTGATTGACTCGGGGATGATACACACTGACACACGCAAACACACCGCTTTGATGCGTGCGGTGTGTCGCTTGGAATTCTGGACGAGATGGTGGATTTACCCTGTCAAGAACCAAAATGTGAGCTTACTCAGCGTAGCTCAGTTGATCAGAGCGTCGTACTAATAACGCGAATGTCGTCGGTTCGATCCCCATCCGGGTCGTGTGCAGCTTCTTCATACCATCACGACGAGAATGCACTTTGACTTGATGTGATGATCTGTGCACCTCTCTGACCCAACGAGCTACACAGGATGGGTTCTATCAAGCCGAAGATACAATCATGCCTGGAAGGTCGAAGGGTAGAGGTCGGACGAAGTCTAGTTTCCTGGTCTTCCAGTTTTGGAGTTCGACTAGAACTGTCGTTTCAGTTGCTGAAAAGTGGTGGATGAGTAATTGGTCCACATAAATGGGCCTCCACTTCGCTTCACCCGCTGCCTTGCGGCTGGGTTCTTGTTACAACTAAAGGCTTTGGTTGAGAACCCGAATTGTTCTTGTACTTAGTGGCTGGACACCCTGACAGTACCCGTTCATCAAATCCCAATATATATTCATTACGAGTTTGGCCGCGATCCGTGAACTGTATTTCGCTGTCCGATGATGATAATGATGATGACGCTTACTAAGCGTATGACAGACTGGACGAGCTGATTTTTGTAAGTGACTATAATTTCTGAATGATAGACATTTATTCCGTCCAGCTAATCACATTTTACTGTAAATTTAGGGCTTTCTTGCTAAGCGCTTGTTTTTCCCGTTCAACCCCGTGCTCCGCAACTGTGAGTGGATATTTGTTTGCTATTCCCGCGGTGCATGAACAGTCAGACTCGACCGCGCCAAAAGCTTCATTCACGTTCGGTAACTCGCCGAAACTCATTTTTGTTTATCAATGGAAAATTGGACCGGACACGCCCTGTGATAGACCCGATCCAATTGGTAAAGTGTGACGAGGGGCCGAGCACCAATCACTTCCTGGAATACAACTGATATGCTCACTTGAAGTTGAAAGATGCAGTTCACCCGCGTTTAGCATCATCCCATTGGTATCACTTTGTTTGGTAGACACTTCACATTGCTGGCTGAATAATTTAGGCATCGAGAGGCTTTTAAGAGCATAGGGCGGGTGGTAGGTGGGGGGCAGTGCCTGTACAGACGGATGCGAATCTGATAAATGTTCCCCGTGAAATTTGCATGTTAAACAAGAGTGGTGAATCAACGTTGATTCGGGTCTTATTTTCTGTTCACCAAATAGCTACCCTTATTCCGTTTTTCTATTTCAGTGAATTTGTCGCGGTCCGTTTCCATGGCAGTGTGAACTATCACGAACTGATTCGTAGCTGTATTTCTCCTTGTGGCACATTCGTGTTTTCCGGGTCAGAGGATCGAAATTTGTACGTGTGGAATGCCCTGACAGGTAGGCATTTGGAGACAGGAACAGGATTTTGTCTCTGTTTGTTTGAGGTGACACATTTTGGTTTACGTGCCTGCGCGAGCAGTGAACCCAAACACGACTGGAAGGTGACGGTTGATTTAACAATAAAGAAGAGGCCAAAGAGACATACTGAATATCCTAACTAGTCTCGATCAGAGATCGATTCTCGGAGTGAATGATGTCCTCAACGGGCTCGCATTGAACAAGACAGGTTCACCGCCTGAGCATAAATTTGTTTTGATGGAACGGATAAACCGGTAACAATATAAACTCACAGGCGAATCAGTCCCAGGACCAGAACACGCCATCATCAGGACACCTCACAGGCGAAGGCCTCTTCATGTCCTGAAATTTGAAATTTCAGTTGAGAGAATAATAAATAAGTGCAATTGTCATATCCACCCCGGATCTAACGGATTGCTAGCCCGGAAGCGCTTGGCGCTTGGTTTTTCTGATTCACAGTCCACAACAGACAGTGTAAAATTTTCGGGTCCTAAACTTGTCGAACTAACCAAAAGGTTTTCTCTCATTTTTTAGCAAAACCAATATGAAAAATAGATTTATTGGTACCATTTTAATTGCTCTTATAAAAATATAAAATGAATCTGTGGTATAGAAAGTTGCGCTACTCCACTGGGAATTTGGCATCAAATGAAACAGGTTACCAGGTCACCAGGTTACCAGGGACACAAAAAGTACGCATTGCTGACGAGTCCCAAACAGGACGAAACAGCTGTCCAGTGCTCGTTGTTGGCTATCACAAACATTTCCATCGCTATTGAGGTTACCAGTTTAGTCTATAATCATTCCAAGAAGTAATCGCTTGTCATTTCTTTCAGCAATTTTGATCTTCTCGTGGTTATCGTCAAACGTGTTCAGAAATAGGTAACAGTGTGTTTCATTGACATAAAAAATCACGAGAATCTTCGATGCGGACAAATCATTCCAAGCGACAGGATTGTAATAAGTTGTGAAGTTTCTTCAAATCATGTCCGGTGCATTCAAAAAAGACTAAACTACCGTCTCTGTTATGAATCAACCCTGGAAAATCTGAATCATAACGGTTTTATACTTTCTGTTTAAAAATTATACGAATATCAACTGTTTAAGCAGGGTTCACTTATCTCCATAGTTTGAATAAATTATTCAGTACATAGTAGCCATAGTGCTTCGCGGGGCTGCCATAGGAAGCAATGTACTCAGTACCGGTCGCTGCTGGAGGAGTACGACAAACGCAGTGGCCTCATTAAATGGCGGGTCACAGTCCATCCCTACGTTGATGTGCGATTTCTTGCCACGGTCTGCGATGGCGAACGCTGTCAGACAAAACCCTATCGCTTCTTCAAGCACTGCTCGCACAGTTGATTCAACGGAAGCCGACTATCCTCAGGCACGAGTTAATCAATAAAACTAATGAGACCCTTATCTCACTCAAGAGCTGGAGACGCTCCCGATAGCGTATAGTTCTACTCACCGGGGATAACATCCTTGTAGCCACCCAACAAATCGTCAGGCTATTTATAATCTTTTGTGCATTTCAACTCATCCGATAAAAATTTCTTCCATTCACACTTAGTCATCTCGATTGTTCTCGAACGAGCAGTGAACCAATGTGGAACGGAGGAGTGGAGCTTGTTGACGTTTCGCAATTCACTGTCCTCATTGACAAATTCACTCTATCCGATTGTAGTACTCTTTAGTTTTCTCTCAAATATTTTTACAAACAATTTGGAAAATTCATTCCACAATTTAGCGATCCGCGATCGCACTTTATTGACTTATGTCGTAGATTCAACTAAGAACTGCTGTCCGAATGAAGTTGCTTTTGTCTGACCATAAAGTTGTGTCCGCGAGTCACACACTGCTCTCACACAAAAATGGATTTTCACAGTGATCCACATTATCCGATTTTCAACGCATCGCACCCCGTAAAAATTATTCGGAGGCATTTCTCTTCCGAACTGTAATTCTCGAAGGATGAGTGAAAATATTCGTGGTCTAATTTGTGTTGTAACGCTCGGTTTGCGATTCAACGTTAATATCCAATATCCAATATTTTTGCATAAATTGTGCGATATCACACGACAAATCACCTCGAAGCACCAAATCAATTGTTGGTTATGAAGGGTCACTATGACCACGGCTGCAGTGACACAATGCGCTGTTCACCATGGTTACCAAATGCTGGATATTGATTGATATAGCACATTGCCATCGCACATACCAACGGGTTCGTGTTTCTATGTTTGACCTAGGTGAACTATTGTTTTACACACTGTACAAAAGAAGCGTAGCGTTTCGTCAGCGTTAGTCCAAACCCCAAAGGCGGTTCCCATCTAATTTTGGTTTGGTTTTTTGAAACAAACTTAATCAAATTTGTTTTTTTTCATTAGGAGCAAGAAGAAACATCATGATCACAGGATGTGGGTTGAATTCAACTATTTCGTGGTAATCTCATAACCAAACGTGATCCGAATGTATGCACACAGCTGATGAGATTACCACGAAATAGTCGAATTCAACCCACATCCTGTGATCATGATACTTCTCCTGGCTCTCATGAAAATATAAAAGAGAACTGATTACACGAATTAAATTTGTTTTTAACCTTTTAAACTCATAAATTATTATTTCACCTACAGACGGGCGGTTGATGTTCATTTTTCCAGTAGAAAAAGACAAAGCCCTAGTTACCGAGTGTACTAACTCCCTAATAGTTTATATCTTTTACAATGGGAAACCGTAATATATTATTCCCGTTAGACTACAATGAACTTTCCTTTTTCAGATATCTTTTGACCGCCATACACATGCATTTTTTCATCCTGCAGAACAGCCATATAATATGACACCCGTAGAAATGTGGTATTTTTTCTTGAAGGAGTGAGATAGATGTATTGTATTGTATTGTAATAACTTCTGCAAGCATGAAGCCCACATTTCATGTAGTGTTTAAAACCCAGGTCTTAATTTGTTTATGTCTCGTAAAATATCCTATTACTGCTTGTATCACTTCACGCGTTTGTCCATTAGCTATTCAGATCCGTGGTTAGTCCGTGCAATTTCCGTGAAGCTGTGATAGACTTCCACAAACAAACCATAGTGCGTAAGCGTAGTGTCATTGGACGCATCTGACAAGATCTCCTTAATAGTGCTTCACAATGTTTTATGGCTCTCCGGTAGGTTGTATGACTTAGTTAGCAACACCGCTGGAATGGCGGCAGAACGGCCTCAGTTGAGTTGTACCTGTGCTTGCTATTTTCTGGCCAGTTGTGAAAGCTGATGTGAATGTGAAATGGTGTGGATATTGTCACGGGATTGATAGACACAGGTCACCGTAGGTGATAATTTATCGTGTGTTCCCATTGTTTCTAATCCATATTGAGCTAGTCCTTTCGTGCAGGGCGACCTATGCGGCTCAATCTGTTGATCACTATTCACACGCTAATTCATCCGATTGTGGATTGCTGACATTCAGTCCGGATGCTCCGGATGCTTATCTTTCCCTTCTCCCAACGGAGTTGTAACTATTTCCAGCTGCCAGACAAGCACCTGTGTCATTTCTCTAGTTCCATCTAAGTAATCCGGTTGTCCCATCAGAGGAGTTTATCGATATTTATAGATATTTGATATTGCAAATAGCTATAACCATCAAATATGGTTGACCAAAGCACCACCTAACCTTTGACGGATTCTCAGATAACACATTGACATCAAAAACGGTTCAAAGTAACGTGAAATTATTCTCAACCTCTTTGCCTATCCATGATGATATTTCATCCATTATTCGTTTCATACATACACAGACATCCTCTACTCTCTGCCGTGGAATAATGACCTTAAATTGAGTCAATGTCTATCAATATGTAGGCATTTTTCCGCTACAGCTAAGCATGAAAAGGAAAATCCGAAAACAATTTTTCGTTTGCCGACTCGTTTTCCCAATAGTGTAGAATGTTCTGTTTTCGTAAATTGTCGTATCTAAGCTGAACACGATTTCAGGATAGTTTTCTTCATGAACAGAGAAAATGAAGAGTGCTGTGCAAAGCGGGGCAACACTATTGTATAACTGTTTCCACCCGGTCCAGTATCATCAGTCATGCAAATTTCAGCTAATCCAATAAGCCCACTGATCACTTGATGAGCAGAATCAGTAAGATGGAACATGCTGCACAGTAGGCTGTATTGCTTTTTCGTTCACATTCCCGTTGTTGCCTGTACGCTGCCGGCGGGACTAATCACGAAATCCGGCTGAATCTGTCACTACTGTTTCCCTCTCTCTCTCGATCTTGATACTACTACTTGACGAGAAGCTTTTGTATTGCTCTCAGTTTATTTCGCTGTATAACTTGTGAAAGAATAGTCTGTCTTACTTTTCCTGTCGATCCGATAAAGATACCTAAAATGTTTACCGGAAACCGGGCACAAGGATGTATACTAGAACGATCAAAATCTTTATAAGGCACTGATATACAAGAACCCAGATACAAATTCCTACTACTCACAGTCATCATCTTTAGCGTCCTCTGACCGTAATCCTCCCCGGTATATGTCTCTCTGTTTGTCTCTCATCCGCAGGTGATCAAGTCGCTTGTTATCGTCATTTACAACTTCGCGGTCCGATTACTGCAATCAGCTATCACCCGACAGACAATGTGTTCGCGTTCACAGTTCAGGACGCCGAAGATGCACCGCTTCGCGTGTATGCGTACGACTCCAAAGGTTGGTTGGTTGGTTGGCTGGTTCGTCGTTCCGTCTGAGTCTCTGTTTTTTTTCGAGTGTTGGTGTTTCCGGGGTTTACTAATTTCAGTTGATGTCCGAGTTTGAAGGATTCGCGGCAGAAAAAAGGTGAAAACAAGTGTTGGTGATTTAAACAGTAATACATTTTCGCGCAGAACACCGGCGGTAGATTCATTGTTTATGAATGGAACCAGTTCACAACCATAAAAGGCTTGACTATATCACGATGTTTTTTGTTCACCTTTATGGTATTTAATGTTTATTAATTTGGATATTAAATGTGGCTACTGAAAAGGATTTTTTAAATCTTTTTCAATCCCCTCAGTCACATAATCAATCGAGACGGTATGGTGTATCCTAGAGACCTCTTGGTTGTTTGTTCACCCTGAAAATAGTATGTAAAAAATGTATCCAATAGAAGTTAAATCACATCACAGACGAATGAAGCAGAAGGAAACGACGACGGAGAGAAAAAATCGATTACCCTCGATGGAGTTAGGGAAACACAAAACTTCGCCCGGGAACTGGAAAACGGTGAAGAGAAGTAAAATAAAATACACATTCAACCATGCATTAGAGAACTGTGGGCAACCCAAGACATGATCAATTTTCCTCAGAATATGTTCACAAACTTTAAACCTATTCATGATATTCTTTGGTTTTTATTGTGAAATTAGAAATGCTGGTATTAAGATCATACCTGAGGTGCGCAGCGTTTTGATGAAAATACCAAGGGATGTTCCCTTCCGATATGCCCTCTCAGTGTAAGTGAAGATATAGTTCCTTCGGGCCAAATGTCTGCTCAATGTTTCCATTTCATTTCATTTAACTGAAGCTGGTGAAGAAGGAATATAATAATCTGCTTTACCAGTATGAAGATTAAAGGATTGCATGGGCAACTGAGCAACCTTGTTCTTGGGTGAACCGTTTACAGAATATTCCTCTTCAATCAGGATTGTCTGTCAGCTGGCGCTTGAAACCGCATTGTCATCTCCTACCTAAAATGTATGAAAAATGCGTGAGGCGTGTGGAGTAAACAGTGCTGGAAAATGAGTGTACTGTCCTAGAATACTCACATGGGCTTTGCACAACATTTGTATGATGACTCCGAATTTCGATGACTGCCGGATGCAGTGTGCGAAATGATAAAGTGATCATTTAGTTTTTGATAACCATCGTCATACTGTTTTACACCGCTATCATTGTTGTTGGTTTGTGAATTGGGTAACGATACATATAATCATCAACACATTTTTATGTTGGAACCATGACATATGACATATCTTTTGGGTGTAAATTAACTGAACAATTCTTCAATGAGCACTTGCGTCACACTGTTCTTCGTTGGCTTAGACAGCTCATTAAGTGCATTGGCAGTACGTCGAATGATTAGTCAAGAAACTAAGCAACCTGTTTTGTGGTTTTCGCTCCGCATTATCGATTGAGATTGTGCTATTATAAGGCAAACGAATGCGATGTACGTTTATTCAGTTGATAGTATAATTCGGCTTTTGCGACTCAAACGTACCTAATTATATTGTCCCTTTCCCTTGACCAGACCTGCCTTCCGGTTAGTTAACCATTTCGGGCCATCTGTTGTTCGCCCTTGACCGCTTCATTCGGGATTTTTCCCAGCTTTGTCAATCCAATTTTTTCGAATGACAGTTTGACCCTAAAATCTCAAGCTGAAATATCTTTTCGTTCACTTATTATTGGGCAATCCCGCTTCCATATATTGATAAGATACCTCTCGTTTGATGTAGGTTGGTTCTGACATAGTTACCTCCGTTGCCTTTTCCATGTTCCTCGAGATTTGTTAGTGCCAGTAGATTGATCATTCTCTTCAGTAGTCCATCAAATATCCTCAAAAAATATGTCCTTCTCTCTGTTAATTTACTTCAAAATCGAATCAAATGCTCACAAGCAAGCCTGTTCTTTTAACTACAACTTACGTGTGTAAAGATAAGTTTTTTTAATATGATCTCTTTATCAATCATTTCTATTAGGGAAAAGGCTGAAGGTACAATGAGGCGCTACTCACACTTTATGTAAGTATTATTTAATTCCTGCACATGGAAACAGACTTTGGTCCCTCAGACTCATCGAACAAGCAAAAGAAGTTGAATTTCACATTGTCATTAAACTACGTGAATAAGTTGTTGGGTTGATTAACTACCAACCCAAATAACCACTCTGATTCACGTTACACGGTTACTTTTTTCTTGATGATGACTGTGCACCTACGTACTTCAACCCAACAATCACTTCCGATTTATGGCACTTGTCGTGTGGATTTAAAACACGCGTACAACATTTATCCTTGTCGAATGATTCTACCTTCCTAATTACCATCTGATGGTGCTACCCTAACTTACCTTCCGGATTTTATTTTTCAGCAACTGCATTGGATTTATCCGTGCCTCAAACTGAACATCAACCAACGCATGAGAACAGAAAGTGAGTTCAGTGATGTGAGAAACAAAACCAATGAAAAGGTTTCAGCTTGAAAATTCTGTCTCAAACCGAACTGATGAAATCAATCAATGGCCTGTCGTTTAGCACAGAAAATAGTTTGATTCAGAGATTATACTACTCATTAGTAGTTAAATTATTAACTACCATACCAAATACCATTTCTCTGGCTGACCGGAGAATCGTCGTCAATCTCAAATCTGCAACTGCTTCCTTATTATTTTTTTGACCGTTACTCTTTTGAGGGTGTTAACATGAATTGAACTGTAACAATGATAAATTCCATATGCTGCATTTGGTTGTGTTTTGTGTTCTCATGGATGTTGGAATGCAATGTGTGTTAATGATTCGTCAAGTTTTACCTTGAAAGAATCAATCGTCTCGGCGCATAGAACATAAGATGGTAGTGCAGGCAGTGCACACTCTGACGGCGAATACATTACGTCGGCTGTCCAGTCGAGATTTTTGGAGTACTAACTTGAATGGATGTCCCCGTAGATGAACGTTTGATGAGAACGTCAAAAGTGGGCGACAAGGGTGGTTTGGGTTGTGTAATATTTGGTACACTAAAATCAAGTCTCCTCGAATCCGACGATACTCAGCAGAGTATAGATCTAATGACTGCAGTCTCTCATGTATGAATCATAACAGAATCCCTTGACCATCTTCGTGACAAGCCTTTGTGGACGCCCCAAAATCTCATGACGAAAATGTAACCATGGATTCCAGGTTTGGATGGCATACTCAAAATGCGGCCGGATGTATGCTGACAGCAGACGTGGGAATAAAGATGATTAAAAAGGTCCAAAAATACATTTATGTAGACCGACATGTTAGAGTGCTGTTGATGACGATCTGGCTTAATTAATAGAACAACTCAGGTCTTCGTGCACGATAACACCCAAGTTCTTCTCTGTTAATGCATGAGGCAGTAATTCGTTTCCGAGAAAATAAGGAAACCGCCCATGGTGGCGTAGCGAAATCACCTTGCCTTTGGAGTCGTTAAATTGGATGTCGTTCTAAATAGACCATTTGTGAGCTGCATTCAGTGTTTCCTGGAGTTCCAGCGAACCCCCACTTTCTGTCACTGTCTTCCAGATTTTAACGTCGTCTGCAAACAATAANCCTAGGACATTCAATAGGTCGTTCATAAACAAGAGAAAAAGTCGAGGGCCAAGCACAGAACCCTGGGGGACTCCGCGAGAACCGGTGATGAGGGCGGACAGTGAACAAGATATTCCCAATGACATGGTCCGTTGTTGGAGAAACACCGCATTCCAATTAAGCGCGAGGTCTCTGATACCGAAATTGTGCAGTTTAAGGAGCAGTATTTCGTGGTTAACCCGATCGAACGCCTTGGAGAAGTCCAGTTAAACCACATCAACCGCATCGCCTTTGTCTGCCGCCTTTGTCCATTCATCGAGGGCTAGGAGCAGATTGGTAGTACATGGTCTCCTTTGACAGAATCCATGCTGAGCTGGAGAAAGGAGGTCGTATTTCTTTAAGTGTTCCATTAGGAAATCCGCTACGATGGAT